GGGAACTCATGACGCATCACTAGACGGTGAGGGGGAAAGAATGTCGCTGATGTTTTATTTTTAGTTTTATAGAGAGCTAATTTTCTTAGTGTGATTAATCATAAATCATGCTCTTAAAATTTAATCAGAGTTTTTAATATTCAGAGAAGATTTTATTCTAGCTTTATTCCAAATTGCTCTTCTTCTCTCCACCTCTAAATTTTATGCTTTAATTGTTATTACTTATTAGAGTAGCTTTACTGTATAAATTTTGGGTTATAAATTTTATCTAAGGTTTTACTTGCTATAATCGATTGATATAACATTGTCAGAGTAATTTGACCTAACTTGAATGATTATCCATGCTTTGTTTTTGGTATGGCTAACATAGAACAGTTGTTAGGTTGTGAGTTAAAGGAGATCTCAATAATCTATAACTTAATTTCTTGTTTAATTATTGAATGATAATTTGAGAAATATATAATAAAACAAAATAAAATTAATTTATTTGGTGGACAAAGAAAATTAAGTTTAAGTGATTAGGTTGTAATTGATTACGTTGTTTGTACTTGATAATTTTCATAGTTGAATTACCTCTATTTATTTATTTCTAATTTAATTTTTAATTTCATCATTAAAAAACCCCCCCATTATTTACTTTTCATAATCATAATTTAAATAGTTACTCTATTGACTCTTAGGAAGACGACCTAGGTTGTGTTTTACTGTAAAATTTAATTTTTATTAATTTTGATGCTATTCGACTGTAGTGTCATGAAGCTAAGGCACTCCATAATGCTGTAGTGTTGAGAGTGTTTGTGGCAAGAATTTAGGGGGAATTCATGTGGAATCTTATTGTAAATTACTTGTGAACTCTCTAATACTGTTTCTCAAAGTCTTGATTGAATTGATTTTGGTTGTCTGTTTTAGAAAGAGTTCTTGCAAACTTGTTTTGCTTCTTATTTTCCAAATCCGTTTTTTTCTCAAGCCTTCATATTTGATTTGGTCTATATTTTTGGCTGTGAATTTTCGACTTAATTTATCTTTCAAGTGCTTTGAGAAATCTCTTGTAACAAAAATATTTGAATTTTGCTCATTTGTTCCTTTCAATCTTCTTGTTGCACCTTTAAATTATGCCAAAGCTTGTGAAAAGTTTTATTTCGTCAAAAAATTTCTAAACACCCAGTTTACCCTTCTTTTGATTGTTGTTGCCTAATCTTACATAATCTTTTTAAGTCTTATACAAGTAATCTAAATATAGAATATACTATGAAATTATAAAAGTGAAAAACTTAAATACTTAACTTTATATACATGATATATTTTTATCCAATCAAAGTGTATTTTAATATATTAATAATATTAATATCAAGAGTAGTTTGTTATTGAACAAATAATTTATAGAAGATTCACATGGCTTGATTTAATTGAAAACAAATACTTTAAATATATAATTCTAATTATAAAGGTTTTTCCTATCATAAAAATAGTTTAAAGTTCCATTTTTTTAATTGAAGTTGTCACGTATTGCTAGATAATTATTAATTATTACTTAGTCATATATCAACCGAATAACTTTACTAACAACTATCAAATTTGACAATTTTAACATGGTAAAATTACTACGTTAATAAATAATATGGAAGTTCAGAGTAATATTGTAGTTTTATAAGACTTTTTTATATTTAAATTTTGTGTGGAAACCTAAAACTGAAAGTGATTTTCCCATTATAATGTTGATCCATTTTTAGCTTGGTGCCCTTATTTTTGTTCATTTTGTATTTTAAATTCAGATATTCTCGATCTGTTTTTCAGTTTAATTTATTTATAACAATAACAAGTGTTATATGAAGGTACGACACATGGGTCAGAGTTCAATTCTAGATTAATTTAAAATTTTAACATGGTTTTTTGATTATTTCGAAAAGCATCTTTTACTTTTAAACTTCCATAATAAATAATTAATAAACATGGATATAGTGGCTGGGCGTAGAATAGATGTATTTACTTTAAATTGCAGGTTTAATTTTCTGACAAAGAAAAATGATAGCGAGTCCCTAAAAAAATTATTAAAAGATTAAGACTATGTTTGGACTTGCTTCTCCTAAAAGTATATTTTATATATAAATAATTACCAGTAGGTATTTCGTCATTAATATGCTCCTTGTCATGTTGTCTAGATAAATGGATATGTATACTAACTGGGAACAGAAATTAGAAGATATTTGTCACATCCCAAAATAAGAGATGATGGGCACAAGATGTAAACCACCACACATCCCATAACCCTTGAATTAGTTAATCTTTCTATGACTAAGAAAAATTTTTTGTTTTGATTTAAATTAAAACTCATAAACATTTTTGGTATAAATAAAATGTTTCAATATTTTTATAGAAATTTTAGCAGAACTTTCTCTATAAATAAAATCTCCCAAAAATTCTACGATACAATGTTTCAATCAAAAATATTAAGTTAATCAAGAGCAGAGCTCCTTCCAGCCAATAGACAAAATATATAACAATATAAACAACCTAACAACAGACTATGCGGAGCACCTAACAATAAGTTTACAAAATAAAATTTTATAATTAAAACTTTACATTAAGAGAAAGTTTAATCGTTAGCTCCTTCACTTCTACAAATATGCGAGAGAATTGATACTTGAAAAATATAATTTCTCTTCTCAATATCAAACTCGCATGAACCATATACAAATATTAAAATTTTTCTAAATATGAAAATTTATAACTAATATCTCATAAATCGTTTATCAAATTTCATATTTGTCTACATTGCATAAAGGACCAATAAAATTTTGAAAAGCACTTTTCACCAATCTAAAAAGTATAAGTCATGATTTCAAGGAATAAACAATTTAATTAACAAGAATAGTTAAAACAAAAGAAATATATAAATATTCATAAATTGTTAAAAATAATATTTTTACAAAAAAAATTTTAATTGATTGGGACGTTACCCACTTACCTGATAAGCCTTCCCAACCTCTATAGTTTACTCCTTATCACTCTTATCAAAATCCTCTTCTTCCAGACACCTTATATGAACATATTTATATACATTCAAAAATTTAAGTCAATAAAAATAACTTTAATAAACTACAACAGTAATTATTCAAAGACACCAAAATTCATATCTTAAAAGCTTCTCTAATTTCACGGTTACTTCATATGAATACTCCCCTTATCTAACATATTGAGTATACTTCTATTTTCAAACTCTATAACATACACATCCAATTTTTATAAATCTATATATATATACATAGTCTTTCAATTGCTTCATAATTCCTTTATTGCATGTTACATTGAACACCTAATATACACCCCAAAATTAAATCATAACACAACATTGTAATTTATAAATTATCAATCATAACTCAAGAATCCAATAAATCTCTCAATAATACAGATAAATATCTTTACAATATTCGATTCAAATTGACAAATGAGTAACACCCAAGTCAATTCATGTCTCTTGTGAGATCCAACAAAATTAAAAAAAAAAACCTACTCATATATCTCCTTTTACCATTTTTAAGTTAAATTCATAAAATAATAATACCCCAACCAATTGAGTCTTTCAAAAAATTTACTGATATTCTAGTAAATACACAATAAAATGACTCCTTTTCACAAGCATTTTAACCAACATTTCGTGATCACTAACAGTCAAATTCCATGTCCAAGTTTTTCTATTTCAACTCATCCTAACCGCTTCTATAACATCATCTAGTTCAAACAAAATTAATTTGACTTAAACTCTAACCATACTTATCATAATCATACTTCCAATACATGAAATTCAGTTTAATTCCATTCCTCCCTTCCCTCAGCAGCCACGGAGTGCAATAGAACTTAGAAAAAAAATTTCAATTTCAATCATTCATTCAGACACTCTTTCTTAGACCAAAGTATCAAGAAGAGTTCAAAAATCCTCACCTTAAATACCAACAGTAACAGAGGAGGGAAAGAATGAGAAGAAGCCGACAGAACAGGGAGAGGAGTTCTCGTGTTTCTAGCTTCAACCAATGGCAGACCACTCCTCTTTCTCTCTTCGAAAACGCACAAGCAGGCTAAAGGGAGTTAAAGACCAGATGCACTCAACCACAACAACAATAGAAGAAGAAGGAAAAGAAGATCATGAGCTGCACAGAAACAAATCGGAGACAGGGTACACACGAAAGGAAGAAAATAGAATCACAGCATTAGATCAAACAGAGATGAGCTCGCGAACAACCCTACCAGCTCTGGTGACCTGATTCTCAGACCTCAGTTGTGCGTACGTGAACAGCGAGAACGGATAAGCAACAAAGAAGACAAGTAGAGACAGGGAAGCACGACGGACAACCTGGTATCACATAGAGACACCGAGTCTCCACTTTCACCGCGCGATCACCAGAAACTAGAGGGGAGAGATAATGTGTAGTGGAAGATGATAGAAGAAGGGAAGGAATGACGGTGGACTGGAGGAAGTTGAAGCTCTCTGTCTCTCTCCATTGTTTCTAGACTTTTCGGTAGAAAAAAGATAAAAATAAGGAGGGAAGAGCCACCCATTTAGGTCTTCGTCTCTATCTCTCCTTTTTTTTCAAAAGAGCATTATTGTAATTTTGTCAATAGACTGGAGCAAAAGAAAAAAAAAAAAATTTATACTCTTGATCTTATAAGATTCAAACTCATGATCTGTAAGTAGTAATATAATTGTCACTAGACAAATTCTTCTTCTTGTTAATTTATTCCAAAATTAATACAAATACACTTAAACACAATATTATATATTTTTAAATTTAAATTTAAATTCTAATTTTTAATTGTTTTTTTTATTTTTTTGGGTTATTACAATATTTGGTTGAAGTAATTATTGTTCTTTCTCAACAATTTATTGCCATGATCTTCAATACGCTTGTGAGCTAACATAAAAAAAGAAAAAGAAGCAGAAATTCAATATGCACATCGAAAGAAAACAAGCTTGGAACCAATAGGATTAATCTAGTGTTATAATATAAGGAACTAAGGTTCAAATTCTTACTAGAAGAAATATTTACATTTAATGCTTGACTGTACCTTGAACAAAATTGTCAAAGGAGACCTGTGAGTAGTCAAAAAAAGAAAAAGAAAACAAGGTTGGAGCTCTCTAGCTTTCAATACTTACCAAAAGCTTGCTTCTAATAATCAAATTGTTGATGACTTCTCTCATTGTTGGCCTCATACTTGGATCGTTCTCAGTACATCTCAAAGCCACCATAAGCACTTGTTCTACTTGATCCCTTACATTAGAAACCATAAGTTCCTTACCAAGGGTTGGATCAACAATCTCATCAATTTCTTTTGATTCTTCCCATGCAGCTTTGACCCAACCCACTATATCTATTCCGTCCTTGAATGAAGCATCCAATACCTTCCTTCTGGTTATGAGCTCAAGCAAAACTACTCCATAACTATACACATCAGATTTTCTGCTCACTATAGTTGAAAATGCATTCTCTGTCAATGAAAACAGGTGAATATATTAAAATGAGCTTTCCAAAAACAAAGAACAAAGTGATCATAAGGATTTGTTTGGTTTTGTTCTCATTTTTCTTCAAACCAATTATAAAAATTGTTTCAAAACAAAATCAAATGAAAATTTGTTTGATCATGTTAACTTAAAAACAATTTCAGAGTTAAAAAAGACTGATTGTGGTGGTGGACAATGGTTAATGATGATAGTGTATGATAGTCGTTAGTCATAGCTAAAAGTAATTTATAAAAATCAAATGTAATGTGCTTTAATAAAAAGAAAGGAAAAAAAAACAACTCTAATTTGTTTCCATTTTTCGTTTTTATAAACAAGAAGTAAGAGTGAGAACAATTTTGAAAACATTTAAATCCAAAATACCTAACCAAACAAATTTTTCTATTTTTTATTTTAAGTCAACCAACAGTTTTTAAAACAAAAAACAAACCAGCCCTAAAAATTAGGAGTAGGAAATTAACCTGGTGCAATGTACCCTACTGTACCAGGAACAACTACAGACTTTGTTGAAGTAGAGGATTCATTCAAGATCTTAGCAATACCAAAATCAGCAATATGAGGCTCCATATCATAATCCAAAAGAATATTGCTGGATTTGATATCTCGATGTATTATAACTGGATCACAATCAAAATGGAGATATGTCAATCCTTGAGCAATTCCAAAAGCTATCTTATAGCGAACCCTCCACAACAACAATGGTGGTGGGTTTATTTCATGCAAAACATCATACAGGCTTCCATTTTCCATGAAGGTGTACATGATCAAGCCATAGTTCTTTTGCAACCAGAAGTTCTTTAATTTTACCAGATTTCGATGCCTAATCTTCCCCATGGTTTCAAGTTCTCTATGCATGCTATTGCTTCCTTCTTCCTTGTTGGGAAATGGAAATTTCTTCAAAGCAAAGACATTATTGGAATCTAATGAAACTTTGTAGACAACTCCATGAGCTCCTCTTCCAATTACATACCTATCATTTAGATTTTCTGTAGCATTCATTACTTTCTTGAGAATTGAAGATGAACCATGACTAGGAAAGATTCTGACAATTTGCTGAGATCTTTTGCCAACAAGAAGCTTAAAAGCTAGTCCTAGCATAACCAAAAGAATAATGAAAATGGAAGATCCAACTGATATTGTTATGATTTTCAATTTACTCAATCCTTTTTGATGATTTGGTATGTAGCCACAATGCCTCAAACTGACATTCTTGGGGCAATTTAGGCTATCTGAGGAGAAACAATTAATGCATAAACCAGGATTACCCAAGAATGATGATGGATAAGAACTAATCAACTTCATCAGTGTATTTGGTACAGGACCAACAAAGGAATTGAATGAGACATTGACTTCAACTAGTGAAGAGAGTTGCTCAAGAACTTCTATGCTTTTGGAAAGATTGTTAAGTGACAAATCCAATCTTAGGAGCATTTTCAGTTCCCCCATCTCTAATGGAATCTCACCCATTAGTCCATTAGCACTAAAATTCAATCCGTACAGCAAATTATGTAAAGATCCAATTGAGTGAGGAATTTCACCTCCAAATGAGTTGCCCCCAAGTTGTAGGTTAGAAAGCTTTTGAAATTCTGATAAGAATGCAGGGATACCCCCAGTAAAATGATTCTCTCTCAAGATCAAAGTTGATAGCCCTGTCCAAGAAGTCAAACTTGATGGAAATGAACCATTCAAGGAATTGAACCCTACATCAAAGTACTCCATTTTGCTACAATTTGACAAGTGAGATGGCAAAGGACCTTCCAAATTGTTATAAGAAAGATCCAACTCTTGAAGGTTTACAAGGTTTCCCAACTCTGGTGGTATGAGTCCAACAAGTTTGTTCATGGACAAATTAATATAAGTGAGGTTTTTGCATTTCCCAAAACTTGATGGAATTGTTTCACTAACACTATTATTGTTTATGTCCATGTATATAAGACTCATATTACTTTCAAAAGCAGGAAGAGGACCTATAAAATTATTTGATTTGAGAATCAACCTTTTAAGAGTTGTACAGCCTCCTATGCTGGAAGGTATGTTGCCTTGTAGTTGATTATCACCCACAATTAACCTGTCTAATTTCATTCCAAAACAAAGATTTGGAGGAAGATTGCCAGTAAACTTGTTATTTCTCAAGTCTAGCCACACCAAACTACTGTTAATTCCCAGACTTTGAGGTATAACACCAGAGAAGTTGTTCACAGCTAATGAGATATTTTGTAACTGCTTTAACCCAGCGACTTCTAAAGGTATCTCCCCATGAAAATTATTATTGTACAATTGAATAGACATAAGACTTGGAATTTTCCATATGCTAACCGGGATTTCACCTGTCAATTGGTTGTGAAACAATTGCAAACTCTGCAACTCAGTTAGCATTCCCAACTCACTAGGAATTTCTCCCTCAAGTTGATTGTTGTCTAAATGCAACTCCTTCAAAGACCTACAATGACTAATTTCCAGAGGTATTTGTCCAGACAAATGGTTTTGAGAAAGGCGAAGAATAGAAAGTTTGCTTAGTGAGCCAAAGAAAGATGGTACGTAACCTACTAAGTTGCTATTGACAGCAAAAAAGTTGGCCAAGCCACTGCAATTCCTTAATCCTGTAGGAATATCCCCACTAAATACATTGAATGACAAATCCAAAAAGTAGAGGCTCTTACAATTTCCAGAACCTAACGGAATTGGGCCCTCAAGATTATTATGTTTGACACTAAAATACTCAAGATTCTGGAGATTGTCAAGATTCTGAAGCAACATCCCTTGTAATTGGTTCTCACCTAGAAACACTTGCTCTAATTCACTGCAGTTTCCAATGGATGTGGGTATGATCCCAGATAATTGATTATTGTACAAATACAATAGCCTAAGTTTGGTGCTGTTGCCAATATGCATTGGAATAGGACCACTTAGGTTGTTGTTTTGCAAAATCAAAGAATCTAACTGAGGAAAATTGAACAAGTATTCAGGGATTTCACCGCTGAGAATAAAATTGGAATGAATGTACAGATGCTGCAGATTTTGTAAGCTTCTGAAGCTATTCGGAATTTTCCCACTAAGAATGTTTTCGGAAAGATCCAAATGCTCAAGCAAACTACAATTACTTAAGCCATTTGGTATTTTTCCTGTAAAGTTGTTTTCGGAAAGGTCCAAATACTTCAACATGCTACAATTGCTTATCTCAGTGGGAATCCTTCCTGAAAGACTATTAGAATACAACACAAGGGATTGCAAATGACTCAATTGTCCTATTTCGGGGCCTAATTGACCAGAGATGGAAAAAGAAGTGAGGTTCAGAGAAATTACATTGTGGGCCTTCTCGCATTGGATTCCTACCCATGAGCATGGTGTTGAATCAGAGACATTCCAGCTTGAATATATGGAAGGAGGCACAGAAGTCCAATGCTTGGAGAGTGAAAGCAGAGTGACGCCATTAGGGCTCAGAGCAAATGCAACACGCAAGAAGGTTGAGAAGAAGCATAGCTCAAACATGAAGTGTCTCATGGTGAAAATGAATATATACCCCCACAATGAAAAATGCGTGATTCACACAAAGGCAGAAAAGTTTAAAGAGGAACAAGATATGGAAGCTAAGCTAAGCAAGCTAGCTAGAGAGAAACTCATGAAAACCAGAAGGGCGTGGTTGGGAATTATTTATAGAATAGATGTATTCATTATATTATGCTGGGGTAAGTTGTTGTCACTTCATCAACTTGTCATACAAGGAATAATTAATCATAAAATAATATTATTGGCGCGACTTTCATTATTTTTATTTTATGTCACTTAATAATGTTTTATATGTGGATGATGATTTCATCAATTGCACGCAGAGTAAACCATTAGACATTTCTATATGGAAAGTGATTTATTAACTATTACATTATCACATAGACTAGTTATTTTTAATTTTTACACAAATAATCTAAATATAAAAAAGTACACCATTCAATCCTTAATATAAGATAAATGAAAGTTTAATTTTTTAATACAAAAGAAAGTTGGAGTAATTAATATTTTTTTTAATTTTACTCTTATTTATTTATTATCATTTAAATTTATAAATAACAATTTATTAGATTATTAATTACAAAGAATGGTAAAATTGAAAATTCATAATTTTTTTTATAATTTTAAAGTTATAACTAACATTTTTTAATAGACGTGAAATTTATTTATTTGATCTTATATTAAGAACGGAAGTTGTTCTATGAAATTATAAAATTAGTTTAAAGATAAGGAAGCTGAGCAAGCTAGCTAGAAAGGAACTCATGGAAAGTTGAAGGGGGTAGTTGAAAATTACACACACACTATGCTGGGGTAATTTGTCGTCATGCAAGGAATAAACCATGAAATAATATTATCAGCACGACTTTCATCGTATTTGGCTTGTCACGTACATAATGGAAAATTTAATGATGTTTTATATATCGATGATGATTTCATCGATCGTTAGAATAAACCATTAAACATTCCTGCATGGACAGTGACTGATTATAACCAGAATTATTAATTTTAGGTCTCCCACAAGATATAAAAATGTTCTAAAAAGTCCTAAAATTACTCTAATGTTTCATGTTCTTCGTTGAAGTTATCAATTACAACAATATAGTTATTAATTATTGCTAATTAGTTATCAACTGAACAAATCTATCAACAATATATCTAATAGTAATTGACAGTTTGATAATTTCAGTAAGTGAATGATATGGAACTTCAAAGTAATTTTATAAAACTTTAATGTATTTAAATTTTTTGTATGGAACTTGAAACTAAAAGTAATTCTACATTTAATTTCCATTATCATATGGATTTGAGCTTGGCGCACATGCATGCCTTTATTTTTTCGAATTTTAATTTCATAAATTCTCAATCTTTTTCTTTTCAGTTTTATTTGTACACAACAAGTTTTATCTTAAAAGTACAACACATGGGTCAAAATTCTAGATTAATTTTAAATTTTAGCACTGTATTTTGATCATTTCGTATAGTGTCTTTTTCTTATTGTAAAAAAATAATTGCACTCTCATGATAAGTTTCCATAATAAATTAATTATTAATAAGCATGGATTAGGTATTGGTTGAGCGTCGACGTCATATCGAATAGATGTATTTTTTTTTTAAATGCAGGTTTTATTTTCTGACGTAAAACTGAAGGATAGGTAGATTCTTTAAAAAAAAGTTATTAAGAGGAAGAACTATATTTGGACTCATTTCTCCTGAAAATATATTATATATACTCACAAAAATATACAAAATTTTCCTAAACTTTAAAATAATTATACAAAACTTCTCTCACATTTAAAAGTTAAAATTAACTTTTCTAATTTTTTTTAACCAAACTTTCTTACTGTTATTTTTTCTAGTTATATTACTAATGAAAATTGTCATGCCATATTAAAAAAAAGATACGTCATAATTTATGAGGCATCTGGTGTAAACTAACAATAACAGAAAATATTGATAAAATTTTTATAAAGCTTACATTAAATGTTACATAAATGGTTAAGTGTCTTTTATTAAAATGATATGTCAACTTCTATTAATAATGTCACTAAAAAAAATAATAGGAGAATTGTGATTAAAAAATAAAAAATTAGGAAACTTAATTTTAAAAAGGTGATCAAAGTGATTCTGTATAACTACTTTAAAATTAAGGAGAATTTTGCATATTTTAACCTTTATTTATAGGTATTTGGTCGTCAACAACTCAACATGCTCCTTGTCATCTTGTCTAGATAAATAGATATACACTAATTGCGTGTTTTGTTTGGTATTCTTTTAAGTATTTTCTTACCGATATTAACAACTCTATATATTTTAATTATAATATGGAAAATAAATAAATTTTAAAAATGATCAGCAACGACCCTTTAATTGGCATGACATGTATAGCATCTTATGATTGACAAATCAGCAGTTTACTAACAATTTGAATAATTGATTTAAGGGAGAATTATTTTAACTTTTTGAGGTCCCAAACAATACAATTAAATTCCCTCTCACCTGAATTCTTAGATATTTCTGTGTTTTTGCTTTGCATTTGTTTTTCTCATTCTTTGTGTGTGTGTGTCACATATACACTGTACCATAAAAATTAAATTTATCTAAACATTTTATATAATTAATCAAATCAAAATATATTTGTGTTTTAATTTGTGTGTGTGTGTACTAAATTCTGGGGGAAACCATTCGAGCTTATATGAGGTGACATATTCACTCCATTCTTACATTTCCCTTTTCTTTCTTTAGTTTTAACTTTTAGATAAACTTAACTTTTTGTTTTAATTTGAGATTATCCAATTTTAAATATCCCATGCAAGAAATAAGTCAGATTTTTAAGTAAAAAATTTAGGAAAAATTATGTATAAGTCCCATGGAGCTAACTTATTTGCAAATAACTTTCACAAAATTTAAAAACTACAGCTAAATCTTTTGGGACTTGACTCAAGTCACTTAAGTGCATGTAATTTAAAATTGAGATACAAAGACAACAATACCCCTATTAAAAATGCATTACAACTACTTCATTAGTAATTTATAACAACCACTTTAATTTTTTACAACTATAATTTCACTTATTCAATAGTTAAATTAATCATGTGTTACAAGTTTAATCCTGATCATTGGATATAACTATCTCATCAGTAATTTAGAATTATCATTTTAACATTTTACAACTTGTAATGCATGATCAATTTAACTATTAGATATGTAAAATTACAATCGTAAAAAATTAAAATGGTAGTTGTAAATTGTTGATAAAATAGTTGTAAGTAATTAGTGTTAAACTTTGTTGGTAATGCATGATTGGTTTTGCAAATTATTGAAAAGGTAGTTGTAGATAATTAATATGTTAAACTTTCTTAGTAACGCATGATTGATTTAACTATTAGATATATGAAATTATAGTTATAAAATATTGAAGTGTTAATTATAAATTACTAGTGAAGTAGTTGTAAACAATTAATATTAAATTAAAACACATGATCAATTTAACTAATAGATATATAAAATTATAATTATAAAAAGTTAAAGTGATAGTCATAAATTATTAATGAAGTAGTTATAAATTATTTGATTGATATAATGTATTTTTAATACAAGCATTATTATATTATCTTTGCATCCTAATTTCAAATTACACTCAAATCTCAAGGGATTCAATTGTAGTTTCTAAATCTTTTGACACTTATTTGTAAATATATCTACTACACAGGATCTATAGATAATTTTTCCAAAAATTTTACATCACATTCTTATTATTATTATTATTTTGCCAGGATTAATGCATTCTAATTAATTAGTTAAAAAGGTCGTTTTTTTTTTGTGGTTATACATTAAGTGGTTGGAACTAGGACATTATATAGAACAGATTTATTCATTTTAAAATGCTGGTTTAATTTTCTGACATACAACGATAGATTAACGAACTTAAATAATTAAAAAATCAATATAATTTGGCAAGATTATGTTTGGATTTATGTCTCCTGTAAGAATATTATATATAGAGTTGGCATGTGTAGTTGGCATTATGTTATAATTAACTTGCTCCTTGTTCGTTTTTTTCAGACTACGTTGGTGTCACATCCCAAAAATAAAGAGTGACCAACATGAGATGTAAATTATATCACACATCCCTTAAGCCCTAAATAACTAAATAAAATTTTTTTTATTTTAAACATAGTTAAATTTGTATTAAAAATTATGACATACCTAATAAAAATCATTACAATAAAAGCTTCAATATATATATATTTAGAAATCTCGACTGAACTTCTCCTGTTAATAAAATCTGTCAAAAATTCTATAACACAATATTTCACACAAAATATGATGTCAATCAAGAGTTCAACTCCTTTCAGCCAACAGATAACATATATTAACATAGAAATCTAACTATAGGCTACATGGAGCATCTAATCATACTTTTCAAAATAAAATACATAAGTGGTTGTATTTACATCAAAAGGAGGGATCTCAATAAATTTTTTCACCTACCACATCTAAAAGTCCTCAAGGGTCGACAAGAGGATCAGCATCAGTTAAAGTATCTGAGGCCAAAATAATTTTCTAGTGAATAATGTCCCAACAATAAATAATTGAACTTGAATCAAAAGAAAATTTGAAATAATTATGTGAGTTAAAGAGATAATAATTTTCATAAAAATTTAATAAACTTTGGAATAAATTGGCTCTATAAAATTTTAAATGAAATCTTAAACTATTGAGATATCATAGCAAATGTTATTATTACTTGATTTCAAGAAAGCATATAAATGAAAGAAAAACTTATAAATAAGTTACTAAGTAAGAACCAATGGAATATAAAATTATCAAATAATCAGATTATAATTATAGAGACTTATCAGAACAATTAACAAATGTGAATACACAGTCCACGAGAGTAAATAACCAAACGCGGCTTATGTCACGAAAATAGTGAACACACAATCCACAAGGGTAAATAACCAAACACAACCTGAGCTATGAAATAAACGTGTACACACAGTCCACGTGGGTAATGCTAACCAAACATGGCTTGAAGCCACGAAACAAATGTGAGTACGATGCTCACGAAGAA